TACAGAATGCAGAATGCATACTTACCTTGACCCTTTGACTACAAAATCAATAAGGGTCTCCCTCGAGTCACAGAGAGTTACTGTGTAAAATTTCAATGCAAAAGCTCAAAGGCTTCTCGGAAGTGTTACAGACAGACAGAAAGACACATGGAGAGATGCATATACCTAAATTTAGTATCCCCACATTAAGTGAAAGGGGAGATAATTTTATCAGTTTTTTTGTTGATGTTAAACTTGGTTTATCAAAATACTTGTGAAAAAAATAGCATAACTTTCCCAGTGATTATTCAGTTTTTTCTTTTCCTACAAAATTGTTAGATATCATATTGATCTTAATAATATAAACACCTACACCTTTATCTATTTTCACATCAAAATGCAGTAAGCAACACAGTTCCAAAATGCCAGATAATGTATTAGACCAGCATGCAAAACTCATATCAAACCATTTTTCCCAAAATGAATGAAGAGTCCTTCCCAAACTTATGAGTTTGGACTTAATGCTGCGTCATGTAGCATGATAAAAAGCCGAAGAAAAAAATAATCATATTTTTTTATTACGTTAGAATACAATTTTTAAGAAGTATAATTGAACTGCCTAAACTCCAGTACAAGTCAAATTGAACCATCTTGGATGTCTTGATTAAATGTTTTTATTTAGGCACAGAGCAACAGAAAGAGTTTTTTTTAACTAGACCATGTTCATAACGCATGTACAAATATTCATACAAATTAAATATTCAGTACTTATAATGATGTTCATAAGCTCAGACAATAACAAATTTGAGAATCTGTGTCAATATTCACAGAACAAATGCTCACTGGATCCATATCAAAATATCACTTTAAAAAAGAACATTTTATTTACTCAGGGAGTCGTTGACTTTTAAAGCATCATACCAGTGACTTTTCATACCAATTTTGCATAGTTCAGTTTTTCAAAGGACGGGTCCAAGGTCACTTTTAGTACAATTCACTGTAACATTTATCTTTGGACTTTCAGTAAGGCGGGGTATTCTTGATTCTATATGATAAGCCTCTAAAATTTACACAGCTTTCATAATTGTTCATTCATTAATGTTGAAATATACGTGGTCGGGATAGAAATTTGGGCGAATGTCAAAGAGTTTAGCCAATTTCCAACAGGATTACATATTAGAAAGAATTAAAGGATTACCGGTAATTTGTCTAATAATTGTCACCAACGATAAAAGTACCTGATGCTATTATTTTTTTAACCAATGCAAATCTATTTGCAATTTGAATGACACTAGTGCCGAGAATACTACGTCTTACTAAAATTCCAAGGATGACAGAGAATAATTGTACTGTTTGGTTTAGTATGTACATTTAATAAATCTGCAATGTTCATGGGAAAACACACACTCACCACTAGATCTGCCATGAAAATTTCAATCTCATGAAACATCCTATAGAACTTATACCATGGAAGCAAAAAAAAATTATAAGTGCTGAAAAAATTATTGTGTAAGGGTGATTTTGACATGTCGATCAATATATATATATAAAACAGATATTTTTTTATTGTTTGACTTACTTAATCCTTTAAATTATGAACTCTTACAGATAGTAATTTATCTAAACTTAATCATTTTAAAGATACATAAATTACTCAAACATGTCACCATTGAACGTGTTCTTATTTTTCCAATTAAATGACATAGTTTTAGTAATGATGCTCTCAATGCCATTCTAACCATCAACTATGGAGCTTGGTGTTAAGAATCTATATGAATTTGAGTTATGTACGGAAAACCTCGATCATTCAGTGGCCTTAGCTTAAGAATGGGATCTCTGCCTTCCAAGGACACGATCGCCTGTAAGCACTGTGTTTTAAACAAACTAATGTTACAAAGTGGAAATACTGAACATATTCATCTCCGCTTACATAGATTTTATCTATTGGTATATGGATAAAAACATGATAAACAATGTTGCACCTTACTAAGACAGGCCCGAGCATTTCCTGTGATCAGAAGCCAGACGTTAAATAGGTGTAGCAAACAAACCACTTATTTGTATTTATGAATAGGGAAAAATGTATTACATAGACACAAAAAGTAGTAAAACGAACCACTTCACTGCATTTTTAATCAAATAAATCGCATCCAAAATACCAATGTTGAAACTGAGAGTATTTTCTTCTTTCACTTCCGTCATAACGTCACACATGCGTATGAACGGTTTATAGAATATTCCGAAGATTGAACCCGATTACTATTATGCTTGTGAATCGTGAAAACGAATTTTTGGCCATCTATGCCTTAAATATTCAACTTATGATTTAAACCATACTTATTACTGTTCTATTATCGATAGTTTTAAATATTCAAAGCGATTTTTACACCTAAATCCCAAAAGTTTAGATGTTATTAAGATATTTTAAAGAATTATTTTTCAGCACATTTGGTTTAAAAATGTGAAATTTTCTTGTTTGATCCCTGCTGTCCCACTTAATTTTTATGCCATATAAGGGAGAGACTGATGGAAAATAATGTGTTAATTTTAAAAAGAAATCTGTAGTTGAAATATGAAACAGTAATTCATTTTTACTAGTAATGACGTTTATAATTTTAAGCTAAATATGTTTAAATCGCCCTAGAAAGTAATGTTAAGGGGATCAGAAGAATAAAAAAAAATAATCAAACCTTTAAACAAGAATATATTTTCTCTACAATTCATATGTTAATTAAATTCTTTTGCTTTTAATATTATAAAGCTAACATAAATATCTTAGTTACTGCATTTCCGTAATTTCACGAGCTTATGTCTATTTTTAGTAACAATCCTTTCAAAAGGAGGCCCGGTTGATCCCAAAATTCACACATATCTGGAAAGGACAAATAGTTAAGATTCTGAGAAATAAAAAAAAAATCTGTAGGTCCCTAATTTTTTTTTCGACTGGTATGGATCTTTACCTTAATTTTACTTGGCACTAAGGCGCATGGAGCAGTGGGATGGGGGTCTTAATCGCGCAACCGGCTGCCGTGATACAGGTTCTCGAATTTTTAATGTCTCAACTCCAGAACAAGCAACTCCCACTTCAAGGTCCCGAGCCCATTGTGAAGGAACAAGTCCTTTCTATTTTTATCGACTTACGAAACTCGCAGAAGAGAATGTAAATTTTAATCTTTCTTGAACAGGTAGGTTTGTATATAAAATATTCTATCATTTTAATGACTAATTTCCTACGTAGAAAAGGAAACATACTTACTGCATATTCAATGAACAATCCAGAGAAATTCGAAAGTCAAAATGAATACGGAGTGTAAATTTGGACTGAGACAAATAGCTGAGAAAATGAATTGAAATTTCGTCTTTATAATGATCAGTTTTAACTTTTAGGTTAAAAACAATAAACAACATCGAAAAGGTTTTAGAGAATAAAGTTAACGTTGGTATTCATCTTCAGCGCAAATCTTTCTTTTTGGGTACATTGCGAGTATATGTGAGGCATCCTAGCTGTGGTGAAGGATTTTTCCTAAGATCCAGTTAGATTACTTTAACTAGGAAGTTTGCTACTTCAATAAATATTAAAGACTGATTTTATGCTAACGTTTTAATATCTTAAAGTAAAAAAAAAACATGTCGAATACAGTATACCTTCAGTTATGTAAATGAGTTATATCAGTTTCATTGACATTGGAAGGGGAAGATCGAAATATCAAGTTTCAAATCTTAATTCCAATATCTCACCTGAAGCAGTTTCTGCCCCAAGCTTTCAGTCAATACTGTACTGTAATAATTTGAAAGGAACTTGATGATGTGAAACGACAAAACAATTATCAGAACTATAACAAAAATTGACCCGTGCATACAATTAATATTCTAGTAAAAGTATAACTATGGGATTTTTTCCTGCCAGCTTCCTCTACGTATATTTTCTGTGATATGATAGAAGTCATGTTGGATCCCATTGTAGAGAGAGATTTTTATACTTATTTAGATATCGAGTTTCTTGAAAATGATTTTGATGAAAATGTAGCTTTATTATCTTTCTTGTCGTTTTGGTTTATTTTACTGAAAATCTCCATTCAACTTTTTATTAAAGATACAAGCTGAATTTAAGCAAGTGAAAATGTTCATAGATATTTTTTTTACAAATACTTAGAGGACACTGCTCATTGATATGGTTGCAATTGTTTCTACACAAATTTCGACATACACTCTGGCATTCATTTCCAAATAATCCGTCAGGGCATTTTTCAGTGCAGTTCCAACCAAAATAGCCAACATCGCATCCTATGATAAAAATATATATCATTAGTATTTTAAGTCATTTTCTTTTTATTTAGTAATTCCAAATGTATCGTTGCACACAGAAGAGACGCTTTTTATATCTTTTTTTCCAATTAACATATTTTTTAACTACTACTTTAAAGAATTTTTGAGGCAAATAAAATAACAAAATAAGTGTAAATGTTAAAACAAATTTGCATGCTTTATCAGAAGATATGCAGGTAATTATTTATATATCTTCTTATTTTAATGTTATTCATTCGACAAAGAATGCTAGAATATGATTTAAAATTTGTACAAATACAACACCCCAGTCAGTAAACACATAATCTACATGGAACTGGAATGTTGGTTTTACGTTGAGACCGGTATAAGATAGATTGGCCAATGAAGGGTCAATGTTTGATAACATATGTTGTACTTATTCGTAATATCCAGATAAAATGGTCTCAAGTGGCTTGGTTAACACTTGTCCAGTGTGTCTTTTTCGTATACATTGCAATTAAGTAGCCTATTCGGCTATTCGACATTTTACATTTGTCAGATATGGTACAGTGCTGCTATCCCACAAGTTGACATGGGATGGGATCGGATAGGATTCAGGATTGAGGATTCACGATAGAAACATATAGAAGTTAATCCAATCCAATCCTATCCTATCCTATCCTGTATCCTACAGCCAATCAGATTCGAGCAAGGGTTCATTCATATTTCAGAATAAATTACAAAAACGAAATACGATATAAAATGTTTACAAAAGAAATATTTATAAAATTTCAATAGAAAATAAAAAATTCTTTTCTCTAAACACAGATTTACATTATAAACTTCGAGTAACACGGCGTACGATCTAACCGTGAACGATCACCGGAAGAATTTCGGAATGTAAACAACGAAGAGTCCAGGCATCGAAAGACCGTTTTTCTTCAGCTTGATTGGATAATTTAACGATTCTTACTTGTGTAAAAGTGTAATGACATGTTTTTCTGTTAAATATGCTCTGTTTGTTTGGATAATTCCACAGGAACCGTCAACAGCGGACTTGAATAGATGACGTGCGAGATCATGTAAGTATACTACACACTGTACATGTTTGCATTTTTATGCATATTTATCCCTTTAAACAATGCTCTAATGTCTTAGACTATAAAAATTTTATTGTATTTAACATAAACAAAAATTGGGTGCGGAAAAAAGAAGTAGTGTAGACAGAAGGGGGGATAAATATTTAAAAATACTCTGTCATATGATTCAATCAGCTATCAGTGAGCTCTAAGACTAAAACAATCATATGTATTATGCCTTAATCAGGTTGTTACTCTTATCATTTCCCTAATAAGGTCAGAAAAAAGTTTCTTTCATTTCAGTGTAATTTATAATAAATGAATGTAGAATCATCATAACCATTTCTAATGCTACTGCTTAAATGTTTAAAAAGCTCAGTCAGCAGTGCATATACATTTTGTACATGTATGTATGATGTATTATGAGTTATGAAACATAAGTTAATCTTTTAATATTCATACCCTCGAATCATGAGTTTTCGTGGCATTACGGTGAATTTGTAATTAAGTGCTTCAAGACTCCATAATTGAGATGTTTGCTATTTATCACATATACAAACAATAATTCTCCTTATTTTAAAATGATTTTAACTCACATATCATTTGTTATTTGTTCAGAAGGTCATTGAATTCTTGCAAAGTTGCCCTTTCGACTTTTTTGCTGACGTCATATGTTTTCGTGGTATTTATAAAACAAGTAAACTCTGGAAATCTAGTCGAACAAAATCCATCAAAATTTTACAGTGTCAAAAATACTAGTTAATTGACAAAATGATTACATTATTTGACATGGAAATTTATTTGTTGTTAATTAAGACCACATCTATCTAGGCGTGCCTAAGCTGTATTGCTAAATAATGTAAAAATTTTCTCTTTCTCAAGAGTGGCCCTTGAGTGGCCTAGAAGTAATTTTGTAAAGCTTTATTCGTATGTTTCATGTTATAAAATATAAATTCCATGTATATTTAAAGAAATGAAATGTTTAATTCAATTTATTATCAGTGGCACAATATTTTTTTTTATCATATAACATTTTAACACCCCCAATATTTTCTTTGAAAATTATATAAAAAATGACGTTACTAGATCACCGTAGAAAAAATATCAAAAGTGGGAAATTCCATCTTATTGTCACATGACCGGTAGCTGTATAGATAGTTAACAGACGATGATGTGCAGAATCGCCAGGTATTAGTTTGTAAGTTTGGTATTCTAGTTCAAAACACGACGAATAAGAGTATATTACGCAAATTGTCAAATTTGCGAACTATGCATAACTCACTCGCTATATTTTATTTTGGCAAAGGCAAAAAGGTTTAACATTTGGTCAGAAAACATCCACAGAGTTCCGCTTTATTAATAGCAAATATGACGTCATTTCGATCTCGCATTGTGCGATTATTCCTAAAAATAAAAAATGCCACGAAAACGTATATACCACGAAAACACATGACGGGACAGTAATTACAGAGCCTGGATTTGCCTGCACTCATGCGTCATCACAGTATAAAGGATTTTAAACTAAAAAGTATGTATGATTTTATTTTTATCATGTATTTTTACATGGTCATTAAAATACATAACATCATTTTCTCTTGAGGTGACATGTCTGCAGTTTCTCGGAACAAGTGATTTTTTTTCTTTCAGAAATCTTGAGAGTAAAACTGAAATAAATGTTGAATTTTTCTGGTCATCATGTTGTTGTTTCATAGATATTTTCTTCTTCTTTTTCATATTTAAATTTCAAGACCAAAAAAAAAAAAGAAAACCAAGAAAAAACATAAAATAGATTAATACAAGCAGAACATAGAGAAAGGTCACTAAAACAAATGTATTCATACTTGTTAGCAAGTTAACAAGATAAAATGAATTATAATGTACAGTCAAGTAAATTATGTTGAATAAGATTTTTTTTATTATTATTTTATATGACTGAGGTTGCAGTATCAGATTTTATTTTTCATGATTTCTAAATGCATTACTTTTGGGAGAGAAAAAGGTGAAATTAAAGCCAAGTGTACATGAAATGTGAAAGATAATCACAATCAAAAACATTTTAAATGTGTATGAATTTGAAATGTGACAAAATTTACAATCTACATGTCTATAATGTTTTTTTTTTTCAGGAAACCCTGCACATTTGCAGCTGTACATAATGCAGTTCTTGCCATATGCTGTTAGAGTAAATGTAGAGTCAAACCAGTGTCAGAGAGTCCCAAGTCTGAAATCATGGTGCTTTTATTAAAGAGATCAGTGTTTGTTTTCTGTGCATTGTTGACATTAGTGGAACTGTTTGGTTTATGTCCATCTCTCTGACATTTGAATTTATATTTGAGCGACGGATAAGAAAGCCAAATTATATGCATGTAAAACATTATACAACTGTAATAAAAACATTGATAAACTTAAATTTAAACAAAGTTCATGAACATGTATCTGTGATATTTGCATTGAAATTCATAAATTCTGTACATGGATACTTTTAATGATTTTGTCTCATGGTAATGGAATATTCAGTTGTTTAACATTGTTGATAAATCATCTTGAATAAAAATATTGTGAACTTGATAAGGTATTTTTCCTCATTTAAGCACTGAAATTTTAAGATCAAATGTCAAGGTCAAATACAAAGTTTACTCAAGAATGTGTTGTATAAATGCTGTGAATTCTTATGTATGTTTTATAAGATCTAAGGAAATGTGTGGAGCATTTTAATATTTCTCAATCAGACACTGATTAACATTCAAGATCAAATGCCAAGGTCAAATACAAACCTGGCTTACTCATGAATGAGTTAAAAACACACTTTAAATACTGTGAATTCTTAATTTCTTATGCATCTTTTATAAGATCTAAGGAACATGTGTGACCTGAGTACAATATTTATTACTGTCAATCTGTCAGACAATATCAATTTAGAAAATATATTCTATTAAACATAAATTATTAAATGTTCACACATAAAACAAAATTGGAAATTGAAAAATACATTTGTACGGCACTGAGTTGACCATAAACTGAGAAGAAACTGAAGTTAAATGAAAAAAGATTAACATTTCGATTATCTTGAATTTTATTTAGCAACTATATATTTTGAATGTTTGAAAAATATCACATACAACAGATGATGAATTGAAATTTTAAATGAAAATAAATTATGAATTTAAATAAAAAAAAATCATACATTTAATATTTGATATTATAAGGCAATTTCACGTTTAAAATGTTTAATATGTGAAAGTCAAGATATTCTAGATCTACATTTTGACTTGTCTGTTTGGTTTATGGTTCAGTCATATCTTCTTTTTTAGAATTGCATACAGAAAACCTGTTATACAGGCACAGTTAGACTATACATGTTCATGAATGTTATTTTCATGGTGCTCAGTTTAGGAAAAAATAAAATTTTACATGAAACATTTACTTAAACATTATTACCCTATAGGCCTATGATTTTTAAAAATAATTAATTATAACACCCCGGACGCAAGTCGCGATCCCGGGTCTCCCGAACATTGTTAGTAGGAAAATTAAAACACTAATTATATTTTTCTTTAATTCTTCTGGAAGCCTTATTTCTTTACATATGTTCGCAAAATCAGTACTTGCCCTCGATTAATTACGATTTGCTTGTTTACATTAATTTTTAACATGGCAATGATAATCGTAAATGTAATTTGTGCGGTGAGTCGGGAATTATGGAATGCCGATCTCGATATTTTTTTCCATTAAAATATATAACATTTAATTGAATACCATAACTATATCCGATTTTTTTATCTGGTTATTCCTTTTTTTTCGTTTTGTCAAACTAATTCCTAAATATTTAAAGTCAGAGAATTGCAGGATAGGATAGGATAGAATTAGACTGAAATCACAGGATAGGATTGTGGATGCAGGATTCACGATAGGATAGGATAGAATTGTCAACTTATAGGATAGCAGCACTGTATTTTCGTTGACCTTAGGCTGAGTATTTTACAGAGTTGTACAGAAAAAGCTGATTTACAGTTGTTGAAACAATGTTGGCCCACTGTTCTGAAATAGTTATGAGTTTTGTATGGCAGTATATACGTTGGCACATTTTTCAGTGCATGATGTTCTATCATGATTCAACCATCGTTTGCCTATTGTCGAGTGAATGATAAGGCATAAAATATTTGTCAAATATTAGTACGTAATGTTTGTCAATTGTACCAATACGTTCATGCTTTAAATGTTTTACAGTTACTTGCACTGTATTCTGCTTTTCTTTAATTAGTTGTTGCTTCTCTGATCAAAATTTGACTGCTGTTTGTCGTTGTTTTTATTTGCATTGGTAGCTCTATATACTTTTCTCATTTTCCTCTTTTTTTGAAACTTCCTATTTCAAATTAAAACATAGTATGACAAGAAAACATTGATGTAACCAACAATTGTCGCCCGGGAAATATATAAAGTAAACAATGAAAATGAGTCTTGTTCATCAAACCGCTTCGATATGTGTGAAAAGGCATGTGTCTAATTAATGGAGATGATAGTCTCGAATATTTTGAAAGCTTATAGTCGGATAAAAAATCAAACAAACACGATACCATTTTAAAATTGAACTATTCCTCAAGTAAATGTTTGCTGCATAAATTATAAATTGAAGTTAGACACATGCATCACCTATTTTCAAAAATGTATTAATTTTCAATTTTACAATATGAAACATGAAATGCGCAGAGAACGTTTTTATGCGAGAAGTTAAAGTTTATGTTCTAAAAAACTTCTCCCACCCAAATCCCCATACACCAACACTTAAACTTATATGTATAGAGCAGCCCGGTCCTCCGGGTTGCAATAAGGTGAGGGGAAATTAATTTTATTTTAAAAAGGGCCACATTATCTTCCAAAAAGGGTTAAAAATAGTCAAAAATTGGTGGGTGCATTTAAAAAAAAATCTTCTCAATAACCAGTGCATTAGACAAACTAAAGCTTCTGTGATAGCCCCTCAATTTTATATAGATTCATAGGTCTGTTTAAATCATGATCCAATTGGGGTAGAGTGGGTGCACAATGGAGGGTCAAAGTTCACAAGGAATAAGATATATAGGAAGTAACTCTAGAAAGCTTCTGAATAGCAGCAAAGCCATGATTGGTGATGCTTATATATTTTAATATGATTAATAAAAGTGTTGGACAACATATATTAATTGATTGTATATTGTTTAACGTCCATTTTGAGATTTTTTCACTTATATGGAGACACCGCAACTTGCGGTTGGAGAGCTGCAAATTTCGTCCTATACTCGGCACTCAAGGTCATTGAGAATGGAAGTCTATTTTCGTGCCAGCACCTACAACAGCATGAGACCTAGAATTATACGGCCTCATCTGTAGGACCGTTCTCCACGTCCCACAGTGGGATTCAAACCCGCGACGTAAGGATCAATTCTTTCCTTCGGGAATCTAGAGCAGATGCTCCAACCAATATGTTTCGCGGACAACTGACATCAGACAACTAAAAACATAATGATGTTGACAGGGAAACGTATATATTTTTGAAAGTAATTATGATAGGATGATGAAAAATGAAGTACATTCTATGAAAGTAATAACTGTGCTATGCAGACAAATGACAACATAATGATGTTGACGGGGACAAGGACATATTGTTTTGAAAGTAATAATTATAGGATAATGCAAAAATAAAGTACATTCTATGAAAGAAATTTAGCAACATTTTTTTTTATTGATCTGTCAAATTTATTGTTGAATATACCTGGGGGTATGATATAGTTATTATTTAGAATCTTTGAAATAATACTTGCTTTGATATTTTTGCGTTGTTTCGTTGTAAATGTAATCATTGCAGCATCGGTATCCCATTTTTCTCCTGTATGGGAGGAGATATTTAACAAATGCAACATTATTTTTTAAAACAAGGAACATATGTTAGAAAAGCAATAGTATATTTCTGCTATTTTGCAGAAGTGTCTTGAGAGTTCACTAGCAATGCTTCCAAATTATCATATCATTTGATACGCTTTTATTTCTGATTTAAAATTGATATAAAATATTGATCTAAAGAAAAAACAATATATACACATATATTGAACATTACCCCTTCTTTTTGCAGTTTTCTTCCACCTTGTCACCAAGTAAAGTAGAGCAAAAAATAATCCCAACGAATAAAGGCCACATGTCTGACTAAATCTGGGCTACATTATATGATTTCAGAACGAATTATATTTTTTTGTGTGTAAATTGAAAACAAAAAGTCATTAGTACAGAATCATAAAAGAAATGATTTTAGACAAAATGTAAAAATAATTTGTTTCCGATTTTTAGAACAGTTTGCGCCCATGTTTTCCATCTCTAATGAAGAGTTCATCGCCATAAACAAATTATGCTAATTAAATTTAAAGAATAAAAACGTGTGGGATATTGTATGCATTTACTTTAAAAATAAGTTGAAATAAGTGTTTGTTTGAAATCTAAAATCAGCTTGGGTGATATGTTGCAACAAAAGTTAGTGGCAAATCTATTTTTCAGTAGACAATTTTATTCGATAGATTTCATAATGCCATGCAATAAACAGTGAACTCAAGTGAAATAAAAAGAATTACTAATACAGATTATTCGTGCCTGACAGTTGATGACACAATTTATAGTAATTTGGAGAATAGTGCATACAGATAAAACGTTTATTAATGAATTAATTTTAAAATCACTTTCACTTTAACAGAGAAAAGCGTTAAGGAATTAACTGCTTCAAACAATCATTAAGCTACTATTAAGCCACTAATAAGCAGCTGCTTATAAATAGTCTTTCGTTCTGTGAATAAAGTAACTGTAATCACTGTTATTTTTTGTACTACCGAAATCTGAATAGAATATGTCCGTCTACTCCTGTGACCACTAATTACACTGAAAAGTGACTTTGCAATGCCTTTTATATATGCACTGTATAGCGATAGTCCGATCGAAATGACGGATATATTCCTATAACCTACCTTATTCTGCTTTAAGAAGGTTATTTCTATTCAAATCTGCTTTCTTTACACCTTGCCTCACTAGTTCAGCATTTATTTGATGTGTTCATTTTATGATATGAACACAATAGATACATTTTACTCGGGATAATCTTAATTATAAAAAAATATATATGAATTATTTTTCATTCATCAATCAATTTTACATTCAGGTAGCAGCCATATCATTTAAGAGCTACCAAAGCGCTTGTAAATAATCTTTATTTAATGTAGCTGGTATCAGGATGTTAGCTAAAAAATGGTGCAGTACTAGTGTTGTGAGTTAAATAATAAACAATAAGCATATCAATATACACAATGTGTATATATAATGAACTATCGTTACATGCAATAAAATAACATATTTTATTTTTACCTGTTGGAAATCATATCCATTGTTTTTTTTTTTCTTTACTGCATTTACAATGTTATTCAGACATATATATGTACGTATAAAATCTGTTCAGATGGATGTTTGTAATTGTTCAACGTTCGAAAAGTAATTTAAGCTCTGTATATATAAGAAAAAGGGAAAGAAAGAGATTCTATTCTATTTGCATTATTGTGTTACAGCTCTGAACTTGGTATTTCCACGATAACAAACGAACTCTAGTCACTGCAGCTGACTGTCAGAACATCGAGTCCGTATTAATCTATGTTTTGGCA